TATATCTATATATATCGTCGATCGAAATGAGATTCTATTTGGCCAGCTGGCGGATGTATGTGATGAGCTGACGGATTCCCGGAAGCGTGTATCCTTTTCGAAGGCTCTGCCACGCCAATTCATGCCGCTGAAGGTTGACTCAGCTGATCATGTAGGTATATATTTACACATATATACTTGTGTGTCATACCCCACATACTTTCGGCTGATCATGTAGGTATATATACACACATATACACTCGGTAGAATGTCTACCTATCTTATACCTACCCTGAGCATTCGCACCAATCGCAGCACTCGCATAAACGTAGCGGCCGGCAAGTCCTGCGGCAAGAAAAGGTCGACATAAAACGGGACAATTGCCAAGAGGTCTACGATGGAATAGAACCTGCGGACATAGGGAACACCTCATAAGACCTATGTGGATATGTATGTGTGTTATAGTACACTCGTTAACACCTCATAAGACCTATGTGGATATGCATGTGTGTTACAGTACACACGTGAACACCTCATAAGACCTATGTAGGTATGCAGGTGTGCTATAGTACACACGTACTTATGCTTGGTATATGCCCACATACTGATATACCTTTGAAGGGATAGGTATATAATGTATTAAGAAGCTAGCGTCGTATATATCTACGGCTATCTGTTTCAGCTTATATTGAGAGAGATGCACTCACTGAGAACCAAAACACCTGTGACGCATTAAGGGCAATGTCAGTTTGTATACTTACCTTGTACCGTACTAAACAAAAGCCACAACAGACTACACTCGACCAGTTAGGGATGGACAGGACAAGCATAAACTAAACACACACACAAACACACACACACATATATATTTATACACGCACACACAAACACATACATACATACATATATATATATATATATATAATATGTATATATATATATATATATACGTATAATATATATATATATATATATATATATATACGTATATACACGGGTGTGTACACAATATCTATATTTGTATACCTACCTCATACAGTACTTCAAACGAGCCACCACCGGCCCGTACTTGGACAGTGTGGCATCGACAGGACAGGCGTAGAGTCTCAGCGCAAACTCGATAGTGAAGACGGCTACTGAGAAGGCCTGCATATGCGCAGATGATGTGGGGGATAAAAAAAAATGGGTACGTATGTGTCATTATGAAATCAAAAAGAGATCTATTATTGTTGAGCTAGAAGGCGTATACCACTATGAAATTAAAACGTATGTAGCACTATTGAATTACAACGTATATATCACCAATCACTTGGGTGGAAAGAACAGGCGTGTATAAATCAGCAATACGTTTAAACGAGAAGGCTTGAGATTGATACTAATAAAATCGAACATTTAGTGTATCATCAGACTTGCCCAACTGCAAACACACAATAGTCAATTAATGAGGACACACACCACACACACAGAAATATACACTACACACAAAGTACCCACCTAAAAGCCAAACACGCAATAGCCAATTAAAGAGGACAGCACTCACCTCAAAGCAGCTGAAGAACAGAGACCCACTGCAAACAGACACAATAGCCAATTAAAGAGGACAGCACTCACCTCAAGCAGCTGAAGAACAGAGACCCCACTGCAAACACACACAATAGCCAATTAAAGAGGATAGCACTCACCTCAAGGAGCTGAAGAACAGAGACCCACTGCAAACACACACAATAGCCAATTAAAGAGGACACACACTACACACACTACACACACTACACACACAGCACTCACCTCTAAGCAGCTGAAGAACAGAGACCCACTGCAAACACACACAATAGCCAATTAAAGAGGATAGCACTCACCTCAAAGCAGCTGAAGAACAGAGACCCCCCTTTGGTGTGGTCGATGCTATGGACAGTCTCGAGCATAAATGCAATGACGTTCAAAATGATGAGTCCAAATATAGTCTTCTCAAAAAGGCGGCCTGCTTTTGTGTGGGACTCGAGGAAGGCGAACAAGCGCTCTTGAAGCGTCATGTGCTCCAGTCTTTCATCCTGTCAGGCAGATATATATATGTGTGTGTATGTATGAGTGTGGTATATATGACTATATACAAGTCTTTCATCCTGTCAGGCAGATATGTATGTACGTGTGTAGGTATGAGTGTGGTATATATGACTATATGGAAGTCTCTCATCCTGTCAGGCAGATATGTATATATGTGTGTATGTATGAGTGTGGTATATATGCCTATATACAAGTCTTTCATCCTGTCAGGCAGATATGTATATGTGTGTGTATGAGTGTGGTATATATGATTATATGCATATCTATCATCCTGTAAGGCAGATATGTATGTGTGTGTGTAGGAGTGTGGTATATATGACTATATAAAGGATATGTGTTATAGGTATATGGACCTGAACACGTGTATGAAACCTCAGAAGTATGTGTGTATGATAGTAGTATATATGTCTTTATACAAGATATGTGTTATAGGTATATGGACTTGAATATGGTGTATAAAACCTCAAAAGTATGTGTGTATGAGTGGGGTATATATGACTTCATAGGTATGTGTACCTGTATATGGTGTATGAAACCTTCGATGTATATGTGCAGGTGGGTGGTAAACAAGTACATGTTACTGTATAAACTTTTATAACTTGTAAGTGTACACGAGTATAGCATTTAAAAACAGTATTATATCGTAATTAGACCTGTTTAATATATTATTTAGACCCGTTTCACAACATTTTGGGTTGTTCCACATTTGAATAACATTCCAAATTCCAAATACAAAAATTTCCTTTCGAAATGTACCTGAAATCCGCTTACGCACATACCATACACGACGTGCAAACATTGGGTTTGGTGTTCTCGACCTCCATAAACAGGGTCTCCTCGCCAACCTGCACCTCTGTCTCCGATTTTTGGGCCCGTCTGTCCTCGATGTTGTCCATAAAACCCGCGCCCAGGATACCTGTGGGTATAGCCGCCACACCCACTGCAAACACACTGACCACACCACCAACCACCTGTAGGAGAAGTGTAACAGGGAGTGAATACCAACAACTCTTAGAGCAAATTCCGGAGTGGAACTGAGAGTGTGGGAGCAATAACATGCTCTTGAAACTTCACACCACTATATAGAGCTTACCTCATATATCAACTGTGATATGAATTCATCAATGTATGAGGTAGACAATTGTAATATATATATATATATATATACTATATACTATATATATATATATATATATATACATATATACAAACACACACACACACACGCGCACACACATACACACGCACGCACACACACACACACACACACACACACACA